TGTGTGTGTGTGTGTGTGTGTGTGTGTGTTGACGGGTGGCGTGTGTGTAAATGGACGGGTGTGTGTGTGTGTTGTGTGTGTGTTGTGTGTGTGTTGACGGGTGGCGTGCGCAGTGTGTACGCATCAAAAGCAAACCAGAGCCTGCGCTGTGACTCTCACTGGATTTTTCCTACATTGCTTTAAGGAAGTTGTCATAGTTGGGCTTTTCAAACTCCTCAGCCCCATTCGGAGTCCCTGGTGAATCCTTAATTTACCCTCTGCCACCCCAGGAGTGGCGAGCAGGACGTGCTGGTCAGACTGGACAGGAGATACCTGTAGTTGGCTCACTTGGGAAAGTTTGTTTTCCTGCTTTCCTCTGGTCTCTTATCTTCAGGACGACGCGAAATGCGAAACAGTTTATGGTTTCCTCTGTCAAAAGGAAAACAAAAGTAGGGATCAGAATAGTTATAATATTTTTCCTCCCAGTTAAATGCATTAAATTTAGGAATATTTTTAATCCAATGCTGAAGGATTAAACGGTTAAAAGAGAAGTTGAATAAAGAAATACTTTAACTAATAGGTTGACCCTTCTGTAGTAATGTGCAGGGCACTTTGCAGTTGATTTCTTGCAAGTCACAGTAATGGTAGAAATAAACGTAACTTTTTTTGAATGTTTACTGAGTGTCAAGCGTTTTAAGTGCTTTACATATGTTTTGTCTCCTTTAATCCTTCCAACAATGTGTGAGATAGGTACAGTAATTATCTCTTGTTTTTATAGATACAGTAATTTTTAGCTCATTAATGGCAGTACCCAGATACAAACCCAGGTTTATCTGACTTTTAAATTCATGAATAAACCCATCTTAGTGAGAATGTGGAGGATGTGAGTGCGTTCTCATGCATTGCTGGTCGAGCAGTATAATATGTTTATCCTTAAAAATGCACATATCCTTTGACCCAGCATTTCTACTTGTAGAAATATTTCTCAAGGAAGTAAGTCACATAACCTGTCAATAGATGTTCATTACATTATTTATGAAAGAAAAAATCTGGTGACTATCTAAATGTGCAGTTAAAGGAAATTGTTTAGGTAGATTGTGATATAGCCATATAGTCATATGCTGAATAGCCATTTAAAGTCATACAGGAAGATGTTCACCATATACATTTTTACTAACTGAAAAAGGTTTCGAAATTATTTTAATTTTTTAAAGTTATGTCTGTTCGTTAATTTAACACATATTCATTAAGCTTCTTCTATGTGCTAAGCCCTGTTTTAGGCACTTGGGATTTATTCGTGAATAATACAGATCAAAATTCCTACTCTCATGGAATTTATATTCTAGTAAGAGGAAGCAGACAATAAACAGCAAAGACAATTATCAGTTCATTTATAGTGTGTTAGGCTTAAAGTGCTACCGAAAAAAGAGCAGAATAAGGGAAGTCAGGAGTGAGGGTAGGGGCCGGGCAGTTTGTAGTATTTTGTAAATTGGTCAGAACGGACCTTTTTGAAAAGATGGGATTTAAGCAAAGACTTGAAAGAGTTGAGGGAATCATCAAGTGGATATCTGAGGAAAGACAGTTGCAGGCAGAAAGGACAGCTAGGGTAAAGACAGAAACAGTGAAGAGGCCAAGGAGAGTGAAGTAGAATAGCCAAGGAGAGTAAAGCAGAATGACCAAGGGGTGATGAGGGCAGATTATGTAGGGTCTTGGAGGTCCACGTAAGGACTGTGGCTTTTACTCTTAGAGACTGGGGAGCCAGTGCAAGGTTTCAGCAGAGGAGAGACACGATCTGACTTAAATCCTAAGAGGATCACACTGGCTGCCGTGTGAAGAGTAGACTGTAAGGGGCAAAAGTAGACACGGAAGGGTATTACAGCGGTTCAGCAAAGAGATGGACGTGTCCTTCACAGCAGTATGGTAGCAGCAGTGGGAGGGAGAGAATGATTAGACTTTGAATATATATAGAAAGTAGAACCAGAGTGATTTCCTAACAGATTAAATGAGGGGTGGAAATGGATCAGAGGAGACTGGGGGACTCCAGGGACCTGAGTGTCTAGAAGAATGAAATTGCCATCAACTGAGATGTGGTGGTGGTTTTATAATATGTCTATGGATTCTTGGATGTTACTCTCTTTAAGAGAAGGAACTTGAATTTCCTTCCTTTTGAATGTGGGCTGGATTCAGTAACTTGCTTCTAATGAACAGACTGTGGTGGAAGTGATGATGTTTGACTTCAAAGCTAGGTCCTAGAAGACATTGTGCCTTGTTCTCTCTTTTTATTTATTTATTTATTTGGGGGGGCGGTAATTAGGTTTATTTATTTATTTATTTATTTATTTATTTATTTATATGTACTGGGGATTGAACCCAGGACCTCCCACATACTAGGCATGCACTCTACCAGTGAGCTATACACCCCCCCACCCCCGGCTCTGTCTCTTTTTTGGGTCAGTCACTTGGAGGGAAGCCAGCTGCCATATTGTGAAGGTGCTCAAGCAGCCATAAGGAAGGGCCTGTGGCGCAAGGAACTGAGGCCTCCTGATGACAGCAGTAAGTTGTTACACAGTAATAGATAACCAGTACAGAAGGGTAAAGCCAAGAGGAGCGGGTTCGGTGGTGAAGATCAGGAATTCAGTTTGAGGCATGCTGAGTTTGAGATGTCAGTTAGACGTGAAAGTGCAGATTGTTGAATGGGCAGTTATATTTATGTCTAGAGGTAGTGAGAGGTCTGGTCTGGAGATAATGAATTTGGAAGTCATCAGCATACAGATAATAATTTAAAGCCATAGGACTGAATGACAACGTACTGGAGTGAGTGTATATGTTTGTGTATACTGTATTATTTTTTATACATTTTTATCTGATGATTTTTTTTAACTTTTTTTATTGAAGTATAGTCAGTTTACAATATTGTGTCAATTTCTTGTGTACAGCATAATAGTTCAGTCCCACATATACATATATGTATTTATTTTCATATTCTTTTTCATTATAGATTACTGCAAGGTATTCTTGCAGTGTGAATATAGTTCCCTGTGCTCTACACTAGAAACTTGTTGTTTATCTATTTTATATATTGTAGTTAGTATCCACATATTTGGAGCTCCCAATTTATCCCTTCCCAACCCTTCCCCCCAAGCCCCCTGTAACCATAAGTTTGTTTTCTACATCTGTGAGTCTGTTTCTGTTTTGTAAATAAGTTCATTTGTCTTTCTTTTAGATTTCACATACAAGTGATACTATATGGTATTTTTCTTTCTCTTTCTGGCTTACTTCACTTAGAATGATAGTCTCCAGGTACATCCATGTTGCTGCAAATGGCATTATTTTATTATTTTTTATGGCAGAGTAGTATTCCATTGTATAAATATACCATAACTTCTTTATCCAGTTATCTGTAGATGCACATTTTGGTTGTTTCCATGTCTAGACTATTGTAAATAATGCTGCTATGAACATTGGGGTGCATGTATCTTTTCAAATTAAAGTTTCCTCTGGATATATGCACAGGAGTGGGATTGCTGCATCATATGGTTAGTCTATTTTTAGTCTTTTGAGGAATCTTCATACTGTTTTCCACAATGGCCTCACCGAACTTCATTCCCACCAACAGTATAGGAGGGGTCCCTTTTCTCCACACCCTCTCCAACATTTATTGTTTGCAGATTTTTGAATGATGGCCATTCTGACTGGTGTGAGGTGATAGCTCATTGTAGTTTGATTTGTATTTCTGTGATAATTAAAGAGTATTGAGCATTTTTTTCACGTGCCTGTTGGCCATTTGTATGTCTTCATTGGAGAATTGATTGTTTAGGTCTTCTGCCCATTTTTGGATTGGGTTGTTTGTTTTTTTCTTATTAAGTTGTATGAGCTGTTTACATATTCTGGAAATTAAAAATTGTCAGTCTCATCTTTTGCAAATATTTTTTCCCATTCCATAGATTGTCTCTTTGTTTTGGTTATGGTTTCCTTTGCTGTGCAAAAGCTTATAAGTTTAACTAGGTCCTATTTGTTTATTTTTGCTCTTATTTCTATTGCCTGGGTAGACTGCCCTAGGAGAATATTGCTAAGATTTATGTCAGAGAATGTT